GAGGAGAGGATAATATACTGCATATCAACCAGAGACAAGAGTTATAAACAGTTGTGCCATATGTACAAGAAAATTCGACATTTTTACTGGCTAAACTTCTCTTACCGGGGTCAAATTTCGATGTCGTGACTCCCAAAGACAAACCAGCCGCTTCAAGTTTCGAGTCAACCACAAGCTTGCGATAATCCCTCTCTGCTTTATCCAAACCAGCCAAGGTTATCAACTTCCCACCGAACTCCGGACTCAACTTCGGTTCTTTTTTCTTTGTCTCTTTTTCTACAACAGATTAAAAGTTCCGACCTGTTAGTACACAGAACAATACGAGAATCAGATGAGCATATCCGAATTGACCAAAAAAGAAAGTAAACTCACTGGCTCCGGAATGAATTAACATAGGTATTGTCATCCCATCAATTCGGCGCTCATGAAAGAAGTCCACCGACTGCCATTCTCCGCCTATCCACACCCATTTCTCCTGAAAACCGTGGAGACTCTCCGGAATCTCAGTAACAATTTCCCCAACTTTGACACCATGTTGCGGCTTCGCCCCGGCGAAGAAGCAACAAGACGATTCGGCCACCCTCCTCTTCGGGCTCTGTTTAAAGGCAAAAATACTCCTCATCTCATCGCACGACGGGAGTCCCTCACCCCTCTCGTGCAGCAACACCATTAGCCCGATTATCTTCTTCCAGCTATTCGGTGTGATTTGGCACAACGGCAACTCCCAACTCCGGAGGTATTCCGTGATCAAATTCGGCAACGGGAACCTTAATCCCGACCTCAGACTCTCCACAAACACGCCCACACAACCCGGAGGGGGACTTGTTATTCTCTCCCCGGGATAAGGAGCAAAGATTTTCACTGAGGGGGGAATCCGAATTTGTTCCCTCAACATGACGACGTCAGCGTCGGTAAGAATACTTGGCTCACCAATGAAGTCGATCGCCGGATCGGGCCACCTCCTCACCGGTCTCCTCCAATGCGGCACCGCGAGGTCGGTTGCGTTATGCTCAACTATCACGTCACCATCCTCGTCGTTTAACAGGATATTCAAATGCCTTACCAACGACGGGTCCCACCGGTGATATTCAAAGGCCAACTCGACCAACTCCGAATCATGATAAACGTCCAGTGGAACCGACTCCGTGCTCGATGAACTCGCCACTGCCTTTCCCTTTCCTTTCGACGCCATCGTACGATTGAACGAAATACAAGAAAAATAACACAAGAAATTGAAGGAAAAGCTTACCGAAAATCTCTCACACAACAAGCGAAGAAGATTCTTTAGAATATCAGACGAACTCAACTAATAAGTGATAAGAAAATTTGAGAATGAAAGCACAGGTGAAGAAAGTTTGATCAGACGCCACGAAACCCTATTTATAAGCGTCAATTTGTGACCGTTGGGTATCGCCATTAGGGGCGCGTCGAACCGACGCGACCCCTAATCCTAACCGACGCCGCCCATTCATCTGACGAGACACCTACTGTTATACGTGGCTGCCTATTAAAGTCGACCGTTACCTCATTTAAGACCATTACGGCGCGACCGTTCGGCCTACACATTTACTCGTTGACCGTTACGACTGTTCATCACTTCTGTCGTTAACTGCTTGAAGATTACCCAAAATTCTCCAAGTGTCTCCACCTCGGCATACAGTCTGCACTTCGGACAAATGATCCACTTCGGTTATTTCGGTAGATCGACCGAAGATGATCCACCGAACACCATAGACCACATCGTACCGCCGACTTCTTGCCGATCCAGGGTCTCTAAGTACCTGATATGTTGCAACATCAACGACCATCACTCCGTATGCCCATCAATGTTGGGGGCCTCTCTGTTATCATCCGACTCGGCAAGACGCTGTTAAGAGGTTTTAAGCATCCTATTAAGTGCGATTAACTGTTAAACCGACGTGAATTAGAACCGCACCGATCTACACCAAAGAACCGGTCTGAACCACCAAAGACCGAAGTGACCAACGATTACCGAGGTCAACATCCACCGAGGACAACATGAACCGAAGTCGTCACCTCCTTAAGCAGGTGACAAGGCGTCTACGAGAGACTCTACTGCTCCATAAAATCTGTCATCATTTACGTGGGGCCCCCTGCCTCAAACCGCCCATAAAAAGCCACTTTATTCAAAAAGTAGTACACGGATCCCAATGTATCAGCCCGAAACTACTATAAATAGCGGACCTATGACAATTGTAAAGGGATCTTTCTTTTTCTAAAAATTACCGAACTGTAAACCCTTTACTAAGCAACACGTAAAAGCCCATCACGGCTCTTCACCTCGGTTCACCTCGGACCGGGGCCATTGTTGGTTCGATCTTACATGCTTTACGTTCAAATCATTCCAAATTACTCACTTAATCATAAATTACATCGTTGTTAAGAATCACATAACAACAGAGCACAAGATGAAAAGCGTGCTCACCACTATGCACATATATCACAACATAATAATGAAGAGAAGTATGGTTAGAGTATGAACATAAAGCAATCATTTGTCTCGTCTACAATTCACATCACATCATAACATATTACCCACGTGTACACATCTTTCATTAGCCAAGGATAGGGGATTCATTACCCTAACTCATGGGGGTACGTGCCACTGTAACGGACA